CGGCGTGAGTTGAGCCTGCTGGCTGACTTGTAAGCCAGCACGCTGGCTAATGGAAACCCGAGAACCACTCTGACTGACTCCTAACGAAGTGGCCTGTGAAGAGGCCTGCGATATGGTAGAGGAAGTAGCCATGGTCGTACCGGTGCTAGCTGTAATCCTAGACCTGGCACTGTCCTCAACCACCCTCGCTCTTCTTGCCGTTGTTCTCTCTCTAGCCTCTCTCCACAGTCTCCTCTCGTCTCCTGGACCTAGATCTAGGAAAGTCAAAGGTCGACTGAGAGCAGTTCTACGAGTAGTCCTACGGTCATCCACTAACAACTCCTCCTCACTAGTGCTTGCATCACTCATGAGCTACAGTGTGTGTATTCTAAACTAGAATCCACATTGAATCCTACCTCAGCATGACACACAACCGATTATGATACACCACTAACTTCGGTCGGTCTGGACAGGAACAATTAGGTAGTTAGGTGTCACCCAATGTCAGATCCTACAGGGAATATTAAATCTATTTGTAGATTACTCTAATACAGATTGCAATGCAGCAAAGAATATACTAGTCTATGTGCAGTTGTCTGTCAGTTGTCAATCAAGTCTGTAACAACTAAGTAATCCAAAATAAAAATAATGTTCCCTACACAGATGTATGCTGAATGGTTGTTTATCTAATCAACACCACGGCGAACAGTTGCCGGAATCCAACCCTTTCCCTGTATCCCTCTTGAGTAGTCACTTTGTGTCGACGTTCCTAGGCATCTGGTTGAGTAGCGTGTCTAAAGGTGTGCAATCCGGCCCACCCCTGTGCCCCAAGTCGATGCCGAACTTGCCAGCCCCTGCACATTATTTATCCTCGCATGCAATGAGCCTTACACCCGGTTTGATTTGGCTGATCAGGAGGCATTTAAGGAGATCCCCCGTAACTCCTCAGGAATTATTTAACGTCGCAGACAGGACGACGATCACAGCCAGAATCAACATTGAGTCCTCACCAGAAATATTTAAAGACGGTCTGGTAAGCGTCTGTTCAAAGGGCTGGCATGCCCTGCATGACCTCTATTGCGCAGCAGCAATACCAAGGACTTGCGGCAAAGCATGCGTGTACTAGTCCCAACGGGTTGGCATGGTGACCGTGACCCGAGTGCTTCATCCAGGGCCCTTCAGAGACATGGCCCGTCTCCCACCAGCTTGCTGCCCAGGAAGAATGTCAACTCTCAAGGTTGAGCGCTTGCGACACCTCACATTGCGAGGACTTTCAAGACAGAACTCACTTCCTCACGGTAAAAAGCAATGAAGAGGGTAGATAAGGAAGGAAGCAATGTATCTCATAATGCTGCCCCCAACCACAGATTTCTCACCGGCAACCTGATGTGCATTTATGATGACCGGTCTTTGCCTCGGCACAACCAACAGCAGAATGCAGTTCCACCTCGACTTAAATGCCACATCAGCAAGCTCTCATCATCCAGCGTACAGCCCTAATGTCACCACATAGCTTCCTGGCGCGCCCACACGACCCTGGGCCGCCTTACGTTCAACGCCCAAGCCTTATCACTGCCCCACACCTCATGTGAAGCACCGAACAGCTATTGCGAAGAACCAATGAGCGCAGTTCGAACCAGCTCCGATACCAAATTGCAAGGAAAATGAACAGAAGCGAGCTGACAATATTCAGATTGCACAATCACATTGAAAGCCAAATCGTAACACAATGTTCAGGAAGCAGCATTGCACCAATATAACACCAATGGAGAATCGTAGCACTGAAAGTCAATGTCAATGAGAGCTTGCTCTCGCCTCCACCAACATATGTATCCAGTCTCTATCTCCCTACTTGGCGCTCAGCGCCCAGCCTACTCCCTACACAGCTACTCCTAGCCTACTAATTGACAATGCAATTGTTGACGTCAGCAGCATCCGAAGTACTTGAAGATGTGGCCCATGCAGAACCATCGCCAATACCAGGTATGTGCCCTCACATCATCATCATCCTTCTCTCTCCCCCTTGACTCTCTCCCACGTCTTCCTTTGTTGTACACCCGAAGACCACCCATGCGCCTCACTGCACATCCAAGCCCTGCCAGCTATGGAGGCTGGGCTATGGCGCTGCCCTCAGCGGCGCCCTGCTCCCTGCACTACCGCACGTGCCTGCACCTCGCCACTCAGCGCTAGCAGCAGCCCACGAGCTTCAGCTCCAGCAGCGCTGCCGCCAGCATGCAAGTGCCCGAATCCCTGGCCAGGCATCAAGCTCTTTCCTATATGGAAAGAGCCTGCCTCATTCGGCAGCTTGGCTGGACTGGCCTGGGCCCAGAAGCTTCTGGTAGGCCCCAGGATGCTGCGCCTCTGGTGCAGCTACTGGGCGTTAGGCCTCCCAACTGTCTGTGTATGAGGCTGCGAATCTCGCCCAGGGCCTGTGCTTTCGGAAAGGCCTAGAAGGCCTGGGAATTTCCACGCTGCTTGGCCTGTGTTTCCCTTCAACCAACTGGTGCGACGAAACTGCCTGGACCCCGAATGCGAAATTGACAGCCAAGGGCCTCTCGTGATTTGTTAAGCCCGCCTTCACTTAGGGCGGGCACATTTGCTGCAAGGGGCCCCTTAGGCCTGCCGAGGACCCATGTCCTCGCATTTAAACATAATTTTATTATTTTAATAGTTTCACAAAGTTTAATCAGGAGAATTTAGCATCATTACGAGGTCACGAAGTAAGTACAAGATCAATGGTAGTAGGAAGATGCACACTTTGCTGGAAAGGTTCAACCTTTAATCGCAATAAAAGATGCGTTTTGCAAAAACTGAAAGTTCCGTGAAGTTGCAGTTTGAATGTGGCCGTGCTCAGGCCCGGTCTGCCTTAATTGGCGCGGTGCCTGGCTGGCACTTACTTCCCATAGGTTTGACAGGTCGTTAGATTAGGTTAGGACCAACCCTAGCTAGCGCTAATTTTGTTAATCCTGATTAGCGATTCCCTAATTGTGCGCAGTATGTAGAAAGCCGCCAAAACCTAAAATTATCATTCAAACGACCTAATTACTATGTAAGTACGAAGAAAAAAAGAAATTTTGCAACTTGCGATTTAATGATAACAGAGTACAGGTGTGATCAATCAATCAATCAATCAATCAATCAATCAATCAATCAATCAATCAATCAACCAATGGTGAGTCATCCAATGCTGGTCTGCTCCGATACCAAACTGTTGCATACTCGTGAAACACAGTCATAAGTATGGCGCAGATTCCCAGAACCGACCAGATAATACAGAGTTAATACAAATACAGCGGAAGAGTTGATAACTTGATACCCATGGACTGACTCTGACCTGACTCAGACTGCAATCGAACACTCTCAATCATGCATCAGTGGTGTGAAAGCCCTGGCCATGGACATAGAAGAAAGGCCAGGGTCTGAGATCATACACGGACGAATGAAGGGAAGGGAGACGAAGGGAGGAGGAGAGGGAAGATGACATCAACTTAATGTTTCCAAAGATAGTATCTTGAAATGTCAGAGGTAGCGAAAATCCGAAATGTCGCGAACACAGTGCCTCAAAATGTCTCAGATATCGATCTCACAATGTCAAGTACATCTTCAGAGGAAGATGAAATCAGATCCCACGAGTAGTCCTCAACCTACAGTCCCAATGT